TCACTAATTATGGACCAGATAGAGTATATTTTGGGTAGAGATACTCTTCAACTATCTTTACTGGACGCAAACCAGTTTGTGTAATTGGCATATACTTTTTCAATACTTTGCAATTACCGTGTGTTAAATTGAAGAGTATTGCGGTTAAAATTTATAGGCATCTTTTAATAACACATTTGCAAGAACTCTTTACATGTCGTTTGGTACGGGGTTGGTATGGGGTATAAGTAGATATAATGCTGATATAAAAATTTAATACAATTTTAATATTTTGTTTGGTTAGCAAATTTGGTATAAGTTATCCTGGAATTAAAATTAGTACCGAAATAATTTATACCTTCTTAGAAATTATGCAAATGTCATTTTTAATACGACATACCAAACAGTGGATAAAAAACAATACCACAATAACTAATCCCAGCATAACTTATCACAGCACAACCCGCATTCAAACCAAATAACCCCTTAGTGAAGCGATAACAATACACTTAGGGATCGTTGTGTAGGGTGTATAAGAATAGTGCGGAATAATGTGTATTAGTAATGCATGTATTAGCAATGGAAGCATTAGTTATGCAAATATTATTTCTTATCTATTGTTTGGTGTGGTGTATTAAAATTATAATGCATTGCATACTTTTTTAAAAAACATAGTTGCTTACAAAAATGCCCTCCATATTCTCTAGCTTTAAGGGACTTTAAGGACAATTTTGTCTTTAACCATGCTAATGCATGCATTAAAGCCTTGGTATTACTAATGCCATGGTTTTCTATGCATTACTTATGCATAGAGCTAATGCTTGCATTATTTTTTCTAATACCTCCAACCAAACGACCTTTAGGTAGGTCGTTTGGTATGAGGTATAATTAAGTAGATATACCTCAATCTACGTATCACCAGCTGATAAGAGCTAAGATCTTTTAATCTGTTATACTAGTTAACAAGAAAAAGATAAATAGAGACATAGATACGTATATTTTTAAGAGAATTTTCGATCAATTTGATATGAAAAAAATAAGAACAAAATTGAGCATTAAAAAAGTTTGGAAGAATTTACGAAAAGGGATGAAAAAGTAAGTAATTTCGGAGAAAAGAACATTTTGGTGGGCTGATAATTGATGAAACCGCGTGAGACGTTGCAGTTCAAATGCTTTTATCATATTTTAATTTGATGAGCAGTACCTTTTAATTCTCCAATTTTGTCGACTGGTGGTATTCGTACGTCTGCGACGGTGATGCAAACTGGCGAACCTTCTCCCAAACATGTTCAATTTTGATTGTTCATTTCTTTATGGCCCACGCGTCACATTTTGTTTCTTCTCTTCATTATTTCAATTTTTCACCAACTGATTGGATCTTCCTTTTTATATGTCACTAACTAATAAAATAATTTCCTTTGTGCCAAACGGTTGAGATTAGAATTGCACCTTTTCCATTCTTTTACATCAGACAGATTATTAGTACATAGAATTTTAAAGAAATTGATCTTGACAAGTACAACTCGATCCTAAGTTAGAAAACCATATTTGAGCTTGACAAGTACAACTCGCACGTTAGACACCCATTAAAGACGTAAACATTAACCTTTGAGCTGGACATGAATACATGTCGATGATCGAGGAAAGAAAATGTTGGGACATTTAGATAATGTGAAGCTTACTTCCTTAGCAAAAGAATAGGATATAAATAAAGAATTAGAACTGAAAACATACTATTTAGTTATCAAAAAATAAATAAATTAAGGTTACTACTGAAGATTGTAAATATTTGTTAATTAGAAGCTAACAATGCCGCAATTAAATATATTTGGAGGTAGTGGCAAAAGTAGAATTTTCATTAAGAGAATTCAAAAAAAAAAAAGGTAAACGCACAAAAAAACTAAGGGAATTCAACGCCTAATATACAACAACAACAACAACAAAAAATCCAGTGTAGTCCCACAAATGGAGTCTGGGAAAGGTAGAGTGTACATAGACCTTATCCCAACCTTTAAAAGGCAAATATCTAATGTGTGTACAGAAAAAAATATTTAACCTTATATAAACAATATAATTTTCCGGCGTTTGTCTAACCCTTCCGCCAACCTATCTCAGCCCTTGTTTGGAGGGAGGCAAATTAGTGTTTAGATTTTTAGCAAACAAATGCAATGGACATGAAAAAGATTTGCTAATCTTAAAAGATGTGTTCAAGAAAAATAAAATTTATTTTCAGATAATTTAACTCGTGTAACTTGGCAATGTATAAAAAAGAAAAATATATGTCGATGAGAAAAGCACTGAAGTGTCTTGACAATTTCCTCTAGAATGCTTGAGCAGGAGAGTCAAATGTCATATGCAAGTGTGGTCAGCATGTTTAGCCTCGAAATCGGATAACAATTGAATTTATAAGTGGTTTTAAGAATACGTAAATTAATTTGACAAAAAACGATAAATTGAATTATAAAGAAAACAAATAATAATAAATTAAATTCAAATCGTATGACTTGAACAGTTATAGCCCTGAAAAGTAAATCTCGCTCGAACTGGATATAATTCAAATGATATTTGATACAAAATAACAGTATCTTGCAGAAAGAAAATGATATTATAATGCTTTGAGATGCGTGTTACAATGCATTTTACAAATAATCAGATCCCCTTTATATAATAGGGCAATCTTATTTTAGGTACAATTCTACAAAAGATAAAAAAATCTTATAATTTGTTAATTAACCAGTTTCTCATTGATACATTCCGAGACTTTCGCCGTGATATCCGATCGGTTACGGATATTTCGGACTTTCGTTATCTGGTCCGACAATGTTTCCTCGAGCACATTCGGAATCGGGGTCGATTCGGGGGTCATCGACTCGGTAATCTCAAAGACGGGTGTTCTAACCTCGTATCCTGGATCGATGGAATTCGGGTCGATCTTCAATTCATTACGTTTTAATCCCGATCTGTCATGCAATAGATGAGCCCGATTACGACTGTATGCGCAACGATCTTTCTTTGGTCATCAAAATTGGATTGCTATAAAGAACGTTAGTAGACCAAAATATATTCGGCTAAATATTCTTTTTTCCAAAACTATGGAATCCCTAGCTCGCAGCTGCTATTTTTCGGGTGTGCTCTGGATAAATCTTGCCCCTGTATAATAATTTGCAAATTATAATAAAAATATAAATTGTACTAGGCAAGCCCGTGTAATGAGCTCAACCGAGAAAAAGTGCAGAAGGTTTCGAATCTATGACCTCTCATTTGATGGATCTCCTGCTCAACCAATTCAGTTGTTAATTAATCTTTACAAGTACGAAAATTTTGAAAATATTTTACATTCAAGAGGATTAGAGACGTTTAACTATTTATGCACTTTAAAAGTTTTATTGGGCTATTTTTATTATTGCTTGTGGTGCTTGGACCATGGCTGTAACTTGTAAGTTCTATTCCGCCGAAAAGCTCTATTTTTTTTAATATTAAGGTTCACTTTATTATATGGGTAGGAATAGGACTTAGTCCTTGACAATTATTTGAAGGACACATGTCCATTTCCCCGCGTATTTTTCCTCTTTTTATTTTTTTTGCGTGTAGGACCTTGAAATAATTCTAGTGTTATGGACCTTCATAAACAAAACTAAGCAGAGTAGTTATGAAGAAAAATGATTTTATTCTTGCATTTATGATATAGTATCTGAATAAGCGTTTGTTAGGATTTTTATTGGTTTGCTGAATCTAGCTAGGCAAGAGGATCTGTATTAGACCTTCTTGATATTAATTTTCAGTACCCATAGTTTACAAGATTTTCATTATGATGTATTAGTAGTCATAGCTTACTCTTTTTTTACGAATTTATTAGGACAAATTTGTCTAACATATCTTTGAAGATATCATTTCATTTCACTAGTATGTGATCATTAATTGTTTGGTGAAATCTTGAATATCAATCAAGATTAAACTGCATTGATATTTAGCAAAACAAATTGATACTACTTGCGGACCCATATATTCTGCATAGCGTCTACTTTCAAAACTATAATACGCAATATGCATGTATATCAGTATATGTATAGTATGTACAAATAATTCAAGAGTTACAAAGGAGAAGTTCCTTTGATGATCAAACCATTTTTCCTTTGAGTTTGTTACTTGGAGCAAACTTAATATAGATCTTCGACGATGTTTCTGGTTCAATTTGTATGTTTTTTGGGGTCAAATGTGAAAAAACTTATTCAACCAAATTAACCATATACACCACGTGCTGATTGAACTCTAGAGACACCTACTAAAAATAACCAGAAACTCTAGCTTCTATGTCATTTTGTGCTCACGGTCAACTACTTAGCCTCTCACTTTTGAGGAAGGGTATAAGTTAAGTAGCAATGAAATAGAATTCTACTAACAATAATAACTATTTAATCTCTCCAAGGTTGTTAAGATTAGAGTTGTAGAGTTGCATTGTAATTATTTAACTAGTGGCCACATTTGTAATTGTGGCTTGGCTATTATTGTAATTGGATAGTTAGGCTGTTAGTTGATGTCAGGATATTAGTTAGTGGTAGTTTTTAGGCGGTTAGTGGAGGATGACAACTGTACAAGTACAATGTTCAGTATATAAACGAATTGATCTTGTGATTTCCAAATAATGAAAATATTTTTCCCAATCTAAAAGTCTCTCGAAGCTTCTTCTTCTCTTTTGAGCTTCAGCTCAAGTTCTCTTCACTAAGCTCTCAATTTTCACATGGTATCAGATCGTAGGAGTCATATTCTGAGGTAATTCACAGTTTCTTATTTCATCCTCTCTTCAATTCTGAATCGAAGAGTCTAGGTTTCTTCGAAATCGTTAATTGTTTGAAATTTTGTTTGAAACTGTAATATTCACTCTGATCTCTTGATAGCAACAAATTTTAGTTCTCTTAGCTCGTGGCTTTCACGAAGTGTGATTATCTGTGTTGTACCTGCTGAATTTCCATTTTGTAGCTTTCGATTCACGGTTAAACCAATTGAAATATGCGATCTAAGTAATGGCTGGAGATATAGAAAATACAGTGGAAAAGGACAGCTTAGATACCTCGAGTCCCCTTTACATGCATCCACCGGAGAGTGCAGGTTCAGTATTGGTACCTGTGGCTTTTGATGGCACAAGATACAGATCTGGAGGAGAGGTGTACTTAGAGCCCTCTCAGTAAAGAATAAGGTTGGTTTCATAACAGGAAAATGTCAGAAGCCAACAATTGGACATGCAACCTTTGATCAGTGGGAGCGATGTGATGATATGGTAACTTCATAGATCCTGAATTCCCTTTCAAAGGTTCTAGCTGATAGTTTGCAATATGTAAATAACGCAAAGGAGCTGTGGCAGGAGTTTGAAGATAGGTGTGATCAAACCAACGGAGTAAAACTCTATCAGCTTCAGAAGGAAATAAATGATTTGAGTCAGGGAACTCTTGATGTAACGGGGTATTATACAAAGATGAAGAAATTATGGGAGGAGTTGAACACACTAAATGCACACGCACAGTATAGCTGCCAGTGCACATGTAGAGCTAAAACTAACATGCACAAGGCTGAGTAAGATAGAAGGCTGATACAATTTTTGATGGGCCTCAATGAGGTGTATACTATCATGAGAGGGAGCATACTGATGATGAACCCTCTTCCAAGCATAGCTCAAGCTTTTTCCATTCTCATACAAGAAGAGAAGCAAAGGGAAGTTAAACCACAAAATCAACAACTAGTGATTGAGTCCACATCATTGAATGTTAATGGTCTAGGAAACAATACCTTTAGGACAAACTATAATCAACACAAATGCTACTGGGAACAACAGCTATGGAAGAGGTTATATGGGGAATAGACCTAGGCCATTATGTGATTTCTGCAAAAGGTCAGGGCACACTAAGGAAAAATGCTATAAACTACATGGATATCCTCAGAATTTAAAGTACAACAATTGCAACAGGGGAAGGAAACTAGCAGCTAATGTGTTTGCAACAACAAGTGATGGAACAAACATGCCAGATGAAGGAGAAAATCATCAAGAGCAAGGTAGAACTATTCAACAATTGAGCAAAGAGAAATATGGACAACTGCTGAACATATTGGAGACTTTTAAGAATGGGAATAATGGAGACAACTCAGGAAACATAAACATGATTGGTGGAGCTGTTAATTTTGCAGGTATGACTGCTTGTCACTCCTATGTTGAATCAAGTAAACAGTCTTATGAAAGCTTCAAAGAAAATGTTGATTCCTGGATTCTTGACTTAGGAGCTACTAACCATATGACCTATAACAAAACCTCATTAAGCAATATTAAAACTTTAGTTTACCTCTTCTTAGTCTCTTTGCCAAATGGTTATAAAGTAAAAGTGACAATAATTGGAGATGTCATTCTCAGTCCTTATTTCACTCTAAAAAGAGTTCTATATGTGCCTAGTTTCAAATTCAACCTAATTTCTGTTCACTCATTGACAATCCAACTTGATTGCATCATCATATTCACTAAATTCTCATTTATTCTTCTACAAGGCCTTTCACTGAGGAGGCCTCTAGAGATTGGTAAGGCTAAAGGCAGCCTCTATCTTCACTATTCAAATTCAGGAAATAACAATTCTTCTACTACAAATAGAGTTTCTACCACATCACTCACACACAGCTCTGCACCTAGTGCAACCACCTCAGGTAGTCACAGTATCAATAATGTACACTGTCAACACCCTTGTAATTCAGCACCTAGTGCATCCATTTCTTCTCATGATTGTTATAATAAAAGTGTACAAGTCTTCCTCAAATCCAATAAAAGTTCAGATTCAGTGTGCAATGCATATATCTCTAATGAAAACTCTGTAGATCTCTTGTGGCATAATAGGCTGGGCCATGTGCCTTTTATTAAAATGAAGGGTATCAATTCCATACCAATAGCCTTTGCAAATAAATAACCTTTTCTGTGTTCTATATGCCCTATGGCTAGACAAACTAGATTTCCCTTCCTAGAGAAAACCACCTCTACAACCAAGATATTTGAAATCTTACATGTGGATATGTGGGGTCCTTATCATGCACCAACTCCTGACAATCAAAAGTACTTCATTACCTTAATTGATGACTATAGCAGGTGCACCTGGACATACCTACTAAGCAGCAAAAGCAATGCCCTGCATGTTATAAAGGCCTTCTATGCAGTGGTCCAAAACCAGTTCAACACCTCAATAAAGACCATCAGAACTGATAATGGTTCAGAATTTGTAAACACTGAAACAAACTATGTTTTTCCAAACCAAGGGAATCACACACCAGAAAACTTGCCCATACACTCCACAACAAAATGGCATAGTGGAGAGAAAACACAAATACCTACTTGAAACTACAAGAGCACTGTTATATCAGTACAAATTGCCCCTAAGGTATTGGGGAGAGTGCATTCTAACTTCTACCTACCTGATCAATAGATTACCATCTACATCCCTCAAATGAAAGTTCCCTTTTGAAATTTTATATAAAAAGAAACAAAATTACTCACATCTCAGGAGTTTTGGTTGTCTATGTTTCCTTACAAACCTGAAACCACACAAAGATAAATTTGAGCCAAGATCAACACCCTATGTCTTTGTAGAATACCCTTTTGGATCAAAATGATACAAAGTTCTCAGCCTAACCACAAGGAAAATACATGTTTCAAGATATGTGACATTTTATGACTCAATTTTTCCCTTTGCATTGGCAGTAAAGCACACTGATTTGGCATCTAAATGTGAGCATCTATCTATCCCTTTTCCTCATATAAGACCTAGCATGAGTCATGTTGACACTGTTAATTCTACTACTAATAGTAATAGTGGTAATTCACATCAACAATTAATGTCACCTGGACTCTCATTTGGAAATGACACTAATGATAACATTCATGAATCTATATCACCGTCTAGAACCTCCAACACATCACCTGAACCTTGTTTTCACTCCCAGAACCAAGAACAATCCTTTCTGAATGATTCACCAATCTCTGCACAATCTGAGCAAACTATGTCCCTAACTCATAACAGGCCTTAAAGAACCCTCAAACTCCCTAGTTATTTGAAGGATTACATATGCAATGCACCCACTCTTAACACTAATAGTAGGAAGCAAGTAGCAGATGATAGTCATAGTTCACCTTCCTTTTCTTTTCACACACATGTCCCTCATTTACAACCTGTATCTCTCAATGCACTGAGTAATGATAGTCAACATTTACTTGAGACCCTTTCTACTGACTGTGAACCTGAGTCATATGAAAAGGCAACAACCATACCTGCTTGGCAACAGGCCATGAACCAGGAATTTGATGCACTTTACTCCAACCATACCTAGGATCTTGTTCCACTACCTGCAGGAAAAAAGGCAATAGATTGTAAATGGGTATACAAAATTAAACATAAGACAGATGGGAGTGTTGAAAGGTTTAAGGCTAGGCTGGTTGTTAAGGGCTATACTCAGCAGGTAGGAATAGATTATACTGAGACCTTCTCACCAGTTGTGAAGATGACTACTGTCAGAGCATTGGTTAGCATAGCAACAAAGAAGAACTTGGAGGTTTTTCAGCTTGATGTAAATAATGACTTCCTACATGGAGATCTGAATGAAGAAGTATGTATGCAAGTGCCACCAGGGCTATCAGTAGACAAACAGAATTTGGTATGCAAGCTAAATAAGTCATTATATGGGTTGAAATAGGCAAGCAGGCAGTGGTACGACAAGTTGACTGAGGCCCTATGTTCCAGGGGATATATGCACTCCATGCTGGATTATTCTTTGTTTTATAAAAGAGTAGGCAATTCAGTGGTCTTTATAGCAGTTTATGTGGATGATGTCCTCTTGACAGGGACAAATTTAGAAGAAATTAAGGCATTGAAAATCTTTCTGCATGAGACTTTTAAGATAAAGGACCTAGGGAGATTACATTACTTCCTAGATTTGGAAATACTATACAAACATGATGGAGTAATAATCACACAAAGAAAATTTACAAGGGATCTGATACAAGAGTTTGAGTGTGCACATTGTCCTCCAATGTCCTCTCCACTTGATCCTTCGACAAAGTTAAAGGAAAATGAAGGGAACTTGCTCACAGATCCCACTCAATACAGGAAACTAGAGGGGAAGCTGAATTTTCTCACCAACACACGACTTGATATTGCTTATAGTGTTCAACATCTCAGCCAATATATGCAGATTCCTCGAGATTCTCATCTCAAAGCTACTATACATGTACTCAGATACTTGAAAGGTGATTCTGGTATGGGGATCTTCTTGTCAAACAATGCATATTATAGATTGAGAGCATTTTGCGACTCAGATTGGGCTACTTGCCCTGAGACCAGAAAGTCTGTCAGTGGCTTTATTGTGTTGCTTGGGGACAGTCCAATCAGTTGGAAATCAAAGAAGCAATCAACTGTATCTTTAAGCTCTGCAGAGGCCGAGTACAGGTCAGCGAGAAAGGTAGCTGTCACGACCCTAAACCCGGACCCGGTCGTGATGGCGCCTCTCGTGAAGACAAGGCCATCCGACACACCCCAAGTCATTTTAAGCAGTTAAAATAATATAAATTAATTCTTTAACATAATAATAATCCCAAAATAAGGTGAATACTACAGTTGCGGAATAGACATAGCCCGGCATCGGGGTGTCACCAGTCATGAGCATATACTATCCGAATAAAGACAAGATAAGTCTACATACTCTATTACATAACTAAAACAGAGGAAATAAGATAGGGGAGAAGCACTGGGCCGCGAACGCCGAACAACTACCTAGTGAATCTCTAGAATCTGCTGGAAGCTCTCAACCCTCGCAAGCAGGACCTGAAGCACCTGAATCTGCACACGGGGTGCATGGAGTAAAGTGAGTACTCCAACTTAGTGAGTAATAATAATAAATGAAGACTGAGCGATAAGAAATCACGTAAAAGCACATCAACATACTATAAAAAAGCAGTATAAAGCCAGTAAAAGCAATGAAACAGTAAAAACACTTAGTTCAGAAGAAACTTCTTTAAAACACATTTTTAACAGTTAAACAATTAAATGAGAAGCATCTAGAACAGATAAACACAAAAAATCCTCCCCTCGGGCACAATGTCAATAGAATCCGCCCCTCGGGCAATATCATGGAACAACACCAGTCCCTCGGGCTATATCTCATATCACAATGGGTACCCACGCTCACTAGGGGTGTACAGACTCCGGGAGGGTCCCCTTACGGCCCAAACGCAATATCAAGCCATCTCGTGGCATAATCAGTAGGCTCTCGGCCTCATATCAACAAGAGACCTCGTGGCGTACAATCTCAGGCCCTCGGCCTCATAGTCATAAATCAGTGTATCCTCACAACACAGGCTCTCGGCCTTACTCAGTCAGAATCTCATAAGCCACTAGGGCAACAATAAAACATGATGCTCAGCTCAAATTATCATTTAGAATATCATTTAATGTGTTAAAACAAAGTAAACATGGCTGAGTTATGAAAACAGTAGAATATAGCTTGACTAAGTACAAGTATAAAGTCAAAACAGTGAGGAAATATCAGTAAAAATCC